CTAGGGTTCAAATCCTGTTGATCATGGGCAAGTCACTTAATCTCAGAGTCTCAGTTTCTTTACCTGTAAAAAGGGCATAAGAATAGCTTCTTGCTTAAAGGACTATTGTAAATATAAAACAAGATTATGTATGTAAAGTATTTTGAAAATCTGAAATTGCTTTATAATGATGAGTCATAGATCTCTAAATTTCCTTAGTGGCTTTACTTGGTATTCCCATGACCACACAGTATGCAGGTTTCATTTACAGCACAAAAATGAAAACCTATGAAATGTCTTCCCACAAATAAACACCTCTCCCTCCCTGAGAACTGTGTATCCAGGTAATAAATCCAATGTTGTTTCTCCCTTTATTTTCTCAATTTTTTGGCCTGCCACTTAATATTCAGAGATATGAAATTAACACAGCAACATAAAATCAAGCATCATGGGACTAGTGTTATTTTTTTGAAATGTGTTATATTAAGGTGTCTATCAGTCTAATTACCTTATTTTACTTCACCTTTTTAAATTATCTTTTGGCTCATTCTCAATAATGAAGGCATAATAATATTGAAGAGGGAAAAGAAAGTTATAAGACTTTTCAATCATTAAAAGGGCTTTCTTCATTCTTTACAGATGTAACTAGAACTAATGAAGCAATTCAAAAAGTATACATCCCCAACCATTCTAATTCATGTAAACCTTTGAGTTCTTCAGTGGTTTATAAACACAATAAATCTAGTATGTGTCTGAAAGTACTCCTTATCTTCTCTCAACTTTTGATTCCCTGAGTCATGGAAATACCAACTTTAAATAGCTCTTAGGCAAGTTGGCAGTGGGGTGTCTGGGCAGATGGAGAAACCACAGCCAAACAGGGGGATGGGATAGATAGGTGAGAAGGGGTGTAGCAGACTAAAAACCTCTAGAGCTCAGAAGAGACCAAGATCTAGGATCATTTTTTTAGAGGTGGTAATATTGTAAAAGAAAGAAAAAGAAAACAAAAAGGAAGGAATTTAAGTGGGTCTCCCAGCTTAATGAAAAAAAAATTGATTTAAAAGTATTAAGGACTATTTAATGGAACAGTTTTATGTAATAAAATAGTTCTATTTTCTGATTTGCAAATGTAAAAAGTTTAATTTAACAGCTACCAGAAATGTCTTATGAGACAAGAGAACGGAATGTCTGCCATTTTCCTCCCAATTCTTTGTCTTCTAAGCCTCAGGGAGAATCTTTGCTCTCTTTTAATCTCACTCCATGGTCCTTGAGTGGTCAATAATTCTTCCACCCAAGTTCCATTAAGTGGATCTTGTCCCCAGGGTTAAGCAGACAGAGGCAACTGCTACTTGAGTTTGCAAGTTTGGGCTTCCAAGAGCTCCCAGTCTATAAAAAGGATTACTTTTCAATCTAGGAAAGGAAGGACCTAGAAGTTAATAACTTCATTTCTGATAAATGTGGGTACATAATGAATATGGTCAATGTATTGATATGTTTTCCTTGAAACATATTTGTTACAAAGGCAGGCTACTTTTTGCAGGATGGAGTGAGTAATAACATCACTGCGGAAAAAAGGTGGGGATATGGGGGAGAGACAGAATCAATAAAGCATTAAAAATATACATAAGAAAACAAAAAAAATGGTCAGGTGGTCGCATAAACTAGGCAATTTTAAATTTTATTACAATTGTTAAACCTAATATAGACTTGGAAAGCAAACCAAAAAGAACTTAAGTTTATGAGTTTGCTTATATCCTCTTTTCTATTCTTTATATATTTAAGTGTTTCTGCTTAAAATCGTTAAAAAGCCTGGCCCTGTAAGCATGCAGGGATCCCAAGGCACTTGTCTAGTCTCACATTAAAGAAGGGACTTTGCTGTGGAATGATATGAACCTCTGTAATAAGCAGCTTTTTGTACCAAGGACAGCTTCCTCAGCACCACACAAGAAGTATGTGGTAGTGGGTGTGTGTAGCTACTCATACAATAGGGTGAAGAATATTGGGAAGGAAGCTAAAGCTTTAGACTTCTAAAGTTGATATTAACCAAGACAGAAGGAAGAGGAAAATGCTTCAATTTCCCTAATGCAAATTAGAGGATAAAAGTATTTCTTCTCTAATCTGTAAGAGAGTTGATGGTTAATAAAGTATCTTAGAAAAAGATGTCCCTTGGAGGGTAAAGTGATCTTACTGATAAGTGTTTTGAAAATGACAAGTTTAATGCTTGATTGTCTATTAAAAAATAATAATACAGTTCCCCTTCCTCTTTTTGTATACATACTCTAATCTCCAATTCAACAAAGGAAATTGGGACTTCATTCTGTTCTAGTGGCAACAGATTGCTTTCAAATTAAGCATATTGAGTTATTTCATAGCAAACAGTGTCCTCCTCAAACATTTTTCTTATCTTTCATCAGCTGCCAAAATGCCAAACCCCAAAAAGTGACTAATATGATTAAACTAGGTAAAAAAAAAGATTCTTTTCTTCCAAAATATAAATGCAAAGTCTTAGTCTGAAAGTAATAATTCCTCAGATGTGAAATTCAAAGCAAAATAACCACTGTCTAAAGTTTTTCTATAGCTCTAAGCCTCCCATTCCTCCATTTAGCTCTTGAAACAAGTTTTGTCCACACCACACATATGCTCTGGTTTATGCTCGACTAAGCTTCTTTTGGAAACATCAATTTCTGGAGTTAGAAATGATACTGTCAGAATCATGCTAAATATACTGCAGATTTTCTTTTCTGGAAAGGAGTGACCCTGTCAATTCAATGAAATATGGCCCAAGGAAGACAAAAGAAATACTTGTATTAGCCAAGCAGAATAATTTTATCTGCAACTGGTAGACAAAAGAAATGCTTTGAGAATGAAAAGCAATGTATATACTTAAGAAATACTAGCAGCTATAAGTGTCAGACTATGGTGGTAGGCAACTATCAGAGAAATGGGGCTATTTTTTCAGTTGACTCTCTGACACCAATTAGGGCTGTAACAGCAACTGGACACTTCTCTGAACATGGTAGCCACCTATAGGAGAGACCATGTGTAAAACATCATTATCATCATCATAGTTAGTATTTACATTGTGCTTCAAAGTTTTCTTTTTTTAAGTAAAAATTCTTAGTTTTTTTCCAATTATGTGCAAAAACAATTTTTAAGATCCATTTTTAAAAATTCTGAGTTCCAAATTCTCCCCTTACAACTTCCCCCACATTGAGAAGGCAAACAATTTGATATGTTATACATGTGCAGTCATGCAAAAGATATTTCCGTATCAGCCATGATGCAAAAGAAAACAGACAAAAAAGAAAAACACAAGAAAAATAAAGTAAAAAAAAAAGTATGTTTCAATCTGCATTCTGACTCCACGAGTTCTTTGTCAGGAGGTGGATAGCTTTTTCCTTCATGTGTTCTTTTGCATCACTGTATTGAGAATAGCTAAGTCATTCACAGTGATGTGCTTTAAGGTTTTCAAAGTGCTTTACCATTATTATCTCAGCTGATCCTCACAAAATAACAACAAAAAATTGGGTGCTATTATGGTAGACAGCAGTCTAGAGTCACATAGCTAGTAAGTGCCTGAGACTGAATTTGAACTCAGATCTTCCTGACTCCAGGTCTAGCATGCCATTTCATGAAGAGAAACCTGCAGAGTCTTCTTGTTTTTGTTTTTTTGTTTTTTGTCACATACAGTACTTCATCTCCTGTCTCCATGTCTTTGTGCTGACTATCAAGTCTGCCTGGAATACATCCTTTCTTCATCTTTATCTTCACCTTCTTAGAATCCCTAGTTTCCTTCAAAAATCAAATGCCACCTTCTATATGAGGATTTCCTGAACTGTCCTCCTCAGTTGCTAGAGTTTTTTCCCCCAAAATTATTTTGTATGACATATCTATCTCTCTATCTATACATACATATGAATATGTGTATACATACTACATATATACATATATATGTTCACATATTTATACATGCGGATACTGTCTCCCTGATAAGGACCTTGAGGATGTTTTTCTTTTATTTCAATATCTTTAACATCTAGCACCTTGTACACAGGGGTTATTTAATAATGCATATTGATTGATTTATGCCCTATTAGTAAGTACCAAAGTCTAATGAAGTTTCCTTCATAGTTTCTTTCCCACTCATCCTTTCCCCATTCAAATTGTCAATTTCAGGCCTTAAGTACTCAACACCCTGACTATTAGAATAGCTTCTCTTCCTCCATTCTTGCTCATTCCAATCTATCTTTGTATACCATCATCAGTAACTTTCCTTAAACTCCACTTTTTATCACAATGTCAAAAACTTTCAAGGCCTCAACATCACCCATGAGATCAAGTTCAAAATTCATAAGCCTGACATTCAATAAAATCAGCATTTGGTAAATATTGGTTGGTATGACAACAAAGGGCTTTGTTACCAGATTTATCTTCCTAGTTGAATTTTATTTAAGCAAATATTAAAAATCAATGGATAATGTGAGATAATCCAACAGCTTCTCTGTGGAAAAAGGTTTCCAAGGGTATTCTGAGATTTAATAAAATCTGGCTTGGACTTTTTTTTAATTTCTGATGAAAATTTTGATAATTGATAGATAGCGTGAATAGCTCAAAATTACCTTTAATGCTCTCCTAACATCTTTTACCTGGCATAACTAAACTTCAGACTACTACTTAGGAACCTTCCTGAAAGAAGCCCTGGGGACCACAGATAAAACACATACACATATTTTACAGTATTCAATACTGTCAAAAGAGCTACCGAATTTATGGATGGTACTTAGGATAACATTGCTTTGAGGCATTTAACTATATTAAAAACATTACCTTCCAAATATATTACCATTGTAGATCATTCTAATGTGAATTTAAATGTCATGCTAACAAATACTGAGACTCAGATTCCAGAACCGGAATGAAGGCCTAAGAGATACAAAGTCCTTGAAATTGAATTACATTTAATTGGAATCATTTCTTCCCCAAATATGTTAGAAACCTATAAAACGAGAAGTAATCATTCTTACCTTGTGTCTGTTTCTTATTCACTGCATTATCAGCCTTGTGCCGTTTCTGAAATATAAAAAACAAAACACATACCATTATTAAAAGTGTAGCACTGTACATAACAAACAAAAGTACTCAAGCCCAAAATGACTTAATTTGTTTTTCTCATTGTAATGAGTATTTCCTAACTCCAGTATCTTAGGTAAATTAACAGGTACACAGACAAGCTATGAGAAGGTGAGTGAATGTGGGCCAGTAGCAGGGAAAACCAAGAATGGGCATGCAGGCAAGAATTTCAAAACTGAAAACAATAAACAAGTCACTTTAGTATGCTTCTATATGTTGGAACACGTTGCCATGAAGGTAACCAGAAAGGTGAGAATAATGAATAACATGCCACAGAGAATCAACCAAAGAAACTGGGACTGATTAACCTTGAGAATAGAAGATTTTAAAGGTAGAAGGGAAAGAAGCAATGGAAGGGAAAGCCAGCTGCCTTCAAATATTTACAAGTTGTCATGTGGAAAAAGCAGATGATCCACTTGGTTCCAGAAAATGGAGACTACACAAATAGGGAGAAGTTAAAGAGAGCCTAATTTGAACTCAATGTAAGGAAGGATTTTTCAACAATCCAAATAGGCTGAAAATGAAATAGGCAGACTTGTTTGAATGAGTTCCCCATTGGAAAAAGATGTTCAAATAATTGTTGAATACGTTCTGGACCCATTATGGAGGATGTTCATGATGCAAGGAGGGAAATGACTCAATGACTTCTAAGTTTCTTCCAACTCTAAGTTCCTAAAATATTTTTTCAGTTAAAACAAATATTTGGCCACCAGAAGCAGGTTCATTAGCACACTTTAACATGTTAACATGTTAAAACTTAGTGGCCTAGGAAAACTTTGAATGAAAAATTATTTTATGCTAGGTGAAAGGTTATCTATATTCTTTGTATAAAGTAAGCCAATAGTAATAAAGACTGTATCATGAGAATTTTTATGTTTTTCCATAGGAAATATTGTTCAGTTCTGCCAGTCACATATATATTAATTATCTATTTGGAGAAATTAGTAAAGTGCTACAATTAATTATTATTAAGTACTCAACAGGACTTTCTAATTATACATAGTTCAAAACACCTGCCTTTCCTACCCTGTTCCATATTCCCTTAGTTCCAAGCCATTGACAGAAGACCTATGCCCAATGACCTATATTAAAACTACTTCACACCTAACTGAAAGAGTGATTGATTGATGGGTGGGAGAGAGTTTGATAGGATATTTATATAGAAGACAAAGAGTATGTAGACTAGATTGGGAAAAGAAAAACAGAGGAAAATATGCAGGTTAGAAAAAAGGCAAGTAGGCACCAAAGTGGCCATTGAAGTTTTGATTTTCCATAATTCTACTAGAACAGGTCTTCTTAACTTTCAATCTATGATGTTGGATGGGAAAAATACATCTTTATTTTCACTCAGGTCTAGCTGAAATTTCATGTTTCATTTAATTATGAATTTTTTACAAATACATAATTCTGCTAAGGGATCCATAGGTTTCACTAGATGGCCAAAGGAGTCTACGACACACACAAAAAAGCTTAAGAACCACTGTCCTACTAAAAGCATTGGTTAAGAATCCTAAGATCACTAAACCGAATCATAATAACTTTTAACATAGTGTAACAACAGCTGTATATTAAAACTGTGGGAAAGCAGAGTACAATTCTAATGCAGAAATATTTTGTAATCTAAAGCCTGAAGTCAGATTTAGTTTACCAAACAAGAGATTGAAGCAGATTGGGGCAGTGTGAGGGGGGCCAAAAACCACTTTCAGTCTTTCTAATTATCAGAGAACCATGCACATCAACATATATCTTCTAATTGGAAAATGGGAGGTCTTCCCAATGAGAGGATTTTGTAAACTCAGTTCTACCTGTTGTAGCACAACACACAAAAAGTACTCAATCCAAAAATGGCTTCATTTGTGTGACCCAAGATTAGGAGACATTAACATGCCTAGAACATAAAAGCACTCAATAGGAGGAGCCTGATGATTAGATAGTGTATAATTATCCTATTTTCAGAGAATCAACAATTGACATGCTAACAAGGAGTTTCAAATGTCTTAGTGGCAAATGTGGTGATTATAATTCTTATCATGTCCAGACAAAAATGGTTCTCAAGATGAAATGCATTTGTGAAACATTACAACTTGGAACTACTTTCACATTCAAACTTTTTGCTTCCAATATTATTTATACTGTGAAATTTTTTGAAAGGTGAACTTCCCCTCTAAAAAAAGAAAGTATAAAAATATTAGCACTGAACAGGCTTATTATTTGCACATGATAGACCTAGGAATTATTTTCAGAATTTCACCAACTAATTTAACTCAATTTTTTAAATGAACAAAAATCTATTTTTTTTCTCTCTCACCTTCCCCCATTGAAAAAAAAAAGAAGAGAAAAACATAACCTTTGCAGCAAATATTCTTTTTGTTTGTTTATTTTTGTTTTTGTGAGGCAATGGGGGGTTAAGTGACTTGCCCAGAGTCACATAGCTAATAAGTGTTATGTGTCTGGTCTGGGATCAGATTTGAACTCAGGTCCTCCTGACTCCAGGGCTGGTGTTCTATCCACTGTGCCACCTAGCTGCCCCTGTGCATCAAATACTCTTAATAAGAATATCAAAACAAATTCCTTCACTGGCCAGGGACAAAACTCACACATCTCATTTTATCCCACCTGGGTCCATCACTTCTTTGTAAGGTGGAGGTAGCATGTTTCATCATTGGTCCTCTGGAATCATGGTTGTCTACTCATGATTTTAAATGAAGAATGGAAGGAGCAGAGGGAATGAGAAAAGAGATCTGGATTTGAGGCTTTCAAAAGGTACGAACATTTTAGGCAGTAAAATAACTGTATTTTACTGTCCTTCAGTCATTTTCAATTGTAACCTACTCTTTGTGACTCCATTTGGGGTTTTCTTGGCAAAGATACTAGAGTACTTGGTTATTTCCTTCTCCAGCTCACTTTACAAATGAGGAAACTGAGGCAAACAGGGTTAAGTGACCTGCGCAGAGTCACACAGCTAGTAAGTGTCTGAGACCAGATAAGAACTCAGGAAGATGAGTCTTGCTGACTGTAGGCATTACACTCTATCCACTGCACCACCTAGTTGCCCTAGTATGTGTACTAGAATGTTTAGCACTCTGTTTGAAAAAGGAAATGAGCAAAAACTAATTAAATTTTCTGGGTATGGTAAAAAGTAGATTTTTGAACAAGGAAATCTGTTTCCAGCTTGTTCATAGTGTGTGTTCTGTGAATTTAACTGAACTTTACCAATAATAGAAAGAATAAAAAGGTTACCCTTTTCCCCAAAGTGGGATAAAAAATTATAAGTTTGAGGGGTTAGGATTTAAGAGTTTAATTCATTCTACAGCTTTATCTATTATTCCCAAATCTTATTTATGACTTTATTCCTGTTATGAGCACACAGTGTACAAATTTGCAGAAAAACTGAAAAAAATAACTAGGGATAGCATGTCCTCCTAAAAGATAACAATCTTCTCCAGTAAATAAGTAAACACTGCTCTGATACTATAGAAAAAACAAAACATTTTATATTTCTATTGTAGAATAAACTGAGTTTAAAGTTTTTTTTTTCCTTAAGCTAATTGTTTTGGTGCAATTTCCCTGAAATTCCTTCCTATCCAGCCAATTGCCAACATTTTAGATTTAATTATGCATTACCTTGTGTTAATCTTTGATTAAAATGCTTTGTGTGTGTGTGCATGCGTGTGTGTGTGTGTGTGTGTTTGTGTGTGTGTGGTGAAACTTCCTTGTCCATTTAGCACTTATGTTCATCTATTTCTATTTTCAGCAAATGTATTACAAAAAAGAAGACAAGCCTTCCTTGATGAAAATTAACCAATTAAATTCAAATATCTCCACATTTTGCATGATAGGTATTGATTAACATAATGAAGTTTCTTGTGACCTGATATTTTGAAATAAGTAATTTGTTACTCAAACAGAAATAGAGCTTTTATCACCTTATTTAAGGATTTAAGAATTACAAGGCTCTGTGGCATGATAATATTCATTAAACTGTCAAACTATTTTCCTTCCTATTATTGTTGTTCTTAACAGTAGCACTATTAGTCATCATTTTATATTTCCAGAACATTTCCTTCTGACATTAGATAAGATTTCATACCAAGCCTAATGGTAACATGACTATGTTCAAACTCATTTCTTTACTTTTTATACCTAATTTGTACATGCATCATGTTTCTTGAGGAGCTTCATGGGTTCCATACTGTCTAATACTGACTATGTATCTACAACATTTAAGGCAATATTCCTTCCTCTATAGTATATAATTTGATATTGTTTCACGTACATGTTTTATGATACTGTTTCCTTCTCAGGCCAAAGGACATGCAAAATCATAACAACAGAAAGATCAGGAACCTGACTAGATGGCAGAAATGGATTCTTTTTTTTCTTTGTTCTTGTTTAAAAATCATATAAATTAAGAATTTTATTAGACTTTGAAACCAATTGTTAAAAACATGAAAATGCATCACATGTTTCAATTACTTTGTAAGAACAACTGATTGGCAATAGGGAAGATGAAAATTTAATAGTTGATTTTCAACAACAAAAATCATACAACAATAGCAACAAAAACTTTGCCCAGTGGGTAGATGGGATTGAAAAATGGGTATCATGACTTAATAAGGAGAGTCATGGAAGCACTTTTTTGGAGTTTGGGTCTATGAACTTTGTGAAATCTCTTTTTTTTCCCTTTATTTTATTTTTTTTTCTTTTTTTAAAATTTATTTATTTTTAGTTTACAACATTCACTTCCTCAAGATTTTGAGTTCCAAATTTTCTCCCCATCTCATCCCTCCCCCCACCCCAAGATGGCATGCATTCTGTATACCCATTCCTCTAATCTGCCCTCTATTCTATCTCTCCCCCCATTCTCTTATCCCCTATCCCTTCTATTTTCCTGTAGGACAGGACAAATGTCAATACCCCATTTACTGTATTTCTTATTTCCCAGTTGCATGTGAAAACAATTTTTTTTAACATATGTTTTTAAAACTTTGGGTTCCAAATTTTCTCCCTTCCTCCCTCCCCACCCACCCTCATTGAAAAGGCAAGCAACTCGATACTGGTTATACATGTGTAGTCATGCAAAACACTTTCATAGTAGCCATGTTGTGAAAAACTAAGTATATTTCCCTTCATCCTATGCCATCCCTCATTTATTCTGTTCTCTCTTTTGACCCTGCCCTCCTCAGAAGTGTTTGCTTCTGATTATCCCCTCCCCCAATCTGCCCTCCCCTTTATCATCCTCCTGCTCTCTTGTGTCCTTCCCCTCTTATTTTCCTGTAGGGTAAGATAGATTTCCATACCCAATTGTGTATGTTATTCCCTCCTTAAGTAAAATCCTATGAGAATAAGATTCACTCATTCCCTCTTACCTTCCCCCATTTCCCTTCCACTGTAAAAGCCTTTTCTTGTCTGTTTCATGTGAGATAATTTACCCCATTTTACCTCTCTCTTTCTCCTTCTCCCAGTATAATCCTCTCTCACCCCTTAATTTTATTTTCCAGATATCACCCCTTCATCTTCAACTCACCCTGTGCCCTCTATCTATCTATCTATCTATCTATCTACATGTACATATAATTTTTTCCCTCCCACTACCCTAATACTGACAAAGGACTCAAGAGTTACAAATATCTTTCCATGAAGGAATTCAAACAATTCAACCTTAATAAGTCTCTTCTGATTTCTCTTTCCTGTTTACCTCTTCATGTTCCACTTGAGTCTTGTATTTGAAAGTCTAATTTTCTATTCAGCTCTGGTCTTTTCATCAAGAATGCTTGAAAGTCCCCTATATTTTGCTGAATGACCATTTTTTCCCCTGAAGGATTATACTCAGTTTTGCTGGGTAGGTGATTCTTAGTTGTAATCCTATCTCCCTTGCTCTCCAGAATATTATATTCCATGCCTTGCGGTCCCTTAATGTAGAAACTGCTAAATCTTGGGTTATCCTGATTGTGTTTCCACAATACTTGAATTGTTTCTTTCTGGCTGCTTGCAATATTTTCTCCTTGACCTGGGAACTCTGCAATTTAGCTACAACATTCCTAGGAGTTTTCCTTTGGGGATCTCTTTCAGGAGGTGATCGGTGGATTCTTTCCATTTCTATTTTGCCCTCTGGTTCTAAAATATCAGGGCAGTTTTCCTTGATCATTTCTTGAAAGATGATGTCTAGGCTCTTTTTTTGATCATGATTTTCAGATAGTCCAGTAATTTTTAAATTCTCTCTCCTGTATCTATTTTCCAGGTCACTTGTTTTTCCAATGAGACATTTCACATTCTGTTCTATTTTTCCATTCTTTTGGATTTGTTTTATAGTGTCTTGATTTCTCATAAAGTCACTAGCTTTTAATTGCTCCATGCTAATTTTTAAGGAAGTATTTTCTTCAGTAAACTTTTGGACTTCCTTTTCCATTTGGCCAATTTTGCTTTTTAGGGCATTCTTCTCCTCATTGGCTTTTTGGACCTCTTCTGCCATTTGGGTTAGGCTATTTTTTAAGGTGTTATTTTATTCAGTATTTTTTTGGGTCTCCTTTAGCAAGCTGTTGACTCGTTTTTCATGATTTTCTTGTATCACTCTCAGTTTTTCCTCTACTTCTCTTATTTGCTTCTCAAAATCCTTTTTGAGCTCTTCCATGGCCTGGGACCACTTCATATTTTTCTTGGAGGCTTTGGATGTAGGAACTTTGACTTTGTTGTCTTCTTCTGGTTGTATGTTTTGATCTTCTTTGTCACCAAAGTAAGACTCTATAGTCTGACTCTTCTTACACTGCTTACTCATGATTCCAGCCAATTACTTGAGTTATAAACTCTTTGATAAGGTAGGGGACTGTTTCCAGTGCGGAGAATGTACTGTCCCAAGTTTCAGGGGTTTTGTGCAGCCGTTTTCAGAGATACTTCTAGGGACCTGTAAATTTTCAGTTCTTCCAAAGTGCTATGATCAAGGGCAAGCTGTTTACTCCTTTCCTGGCCTGTGCTCTGGTCTATAAGTGACCACAAGCACTCTCTTCTGTCTTGGAACTGTGAGGAGGATTTCCTCTCCACAACCACTGCAAGCTCCACCATGCCAGCTTTCCTCCTCGCCCCACGACCGCCACCCAGAACTGTGACCCAGATCCAAGCACAGGCAAAGCAAGAGAATCCTGCAACAGCAAAGAGATCTTTGCAATTCCCCTGTGATCAGCCACTCAATTCCCCCTCAGTCTGTGAGCCAGAAGCTCAGGAAGCAGCTACCGCCCAAGGGACAGGCTCAGGGACTGAAGCTGAGATCACTATGCTTCTCTCTCTCACCTCAGACACAGACTTTTCCCACTGACCTTCTAAATTGTCTTTGGCATTCATGGGTTGAGAGTTCTGGAAACCACCACAGCTGCCTGCAATTCAGTCCTCTGAGGCCTGCTCCAGATTAGCTGAGGCCTGCCTTGCCTGTGCTCCCACGTTGAACTGTGTCTCTCTCCCAGCCCAGCATGATATACCTTTTCAATCAACCATCCAGGTTGTCTTGGGCTGGAAATTTGTTTCACTCTGTCTTTTGGTGGGTTCTGCTGCTTTAGAATTTGTTTAGAGCCATTTTTCATAGGTATTTGGAGGAGTTTGGGGGAGAGCTCAAGCAAGTCACTGCTTTTACTCTGCCATCTTGGCTCTGCCCCCCCAGAAATGGATTCTTTAAAAGTAAAAGATTATAAAACAAAAAGGCAGAGTCATGAGCAGGGCCAGGCTTTGCAGATATGAACTTTAAGCACAAATTAAATGACAGAGTTTTGCACATGAAAGGTAATTAATAAATGATCCTTGAATTGAATTTGCACCCAGTGTGGAGATAAAGTGACATCAGTCTTTTTAGCTAATCAATACCAATCATGTCATTTTCAAACAGGAAGGCCATGTACTTTGAGTGTGCATGCATACACGTACATACTTTCCCAGACTTTCTAGATGTCTGAGACCAATATCGATGATTTAAAACTTCAGTTGACCTATTAAAATTCATGAGAACAAACTGAATTGAGATTCTATGGCTCATCTCAGTCTTCTGAATGATTGCCCAGTTTGGTCTCGGAGAAAAATATGAATTCTCGCCTAGAAAAATAATGTCAATAGTAAAACAACTCAAGGAATAGCTTACTGAATAGACAATGTCTCAGATTTTTTTTTTCCCTGTGTCTCATCTTGTTGTCTCAGAGCTTGATGAAAGCCAAATGACTGAGAATCAATTCAGTCAGGCAAAAAAAAAAATACCAAGAGAACATGACAAATGGAATCTTGGTTGCTTCAAGTAAGATGGCTAAAATAAGGTTTAAAAAGAAGAAAAAAATACCTCTAACCTTGACATTGACTCCTTTCCATTGCCTCATAGCAGCTGCAAAAATAGCAAACTGGCTTTCAAAAAGGAAGAAAAAGAAAACTTAGAACTACTGAAATGAAAGAAAAAGGGCCAAAGAAACTTAAGGAAAAAAAGGACAGTTTCAAAATAATAATAAGAAAAAAAATTGACTAGAGATATTTAAGGAAACTAAAAGGTTATTAGCTCCATTGATGGAATACAATGCCTGGATATTGAATTCTCCAAGGTCAATTACTGCATTTCATTCGTTGGGTTATTTCTCTGCTAGGTTATAAAAACCATAGTTGGATACTCTAACATTCTATAATATTAATTCTGTAATGATACTTTTATGCTATGTGGGTGTAGTATATATATTTTTAACCCAGCCAGGCATTTCAAACATCCTGTAGTAAAGTGTTATATAACAACACAACTTTCTTTCAAGACTAGAATATAAAATTACAATTAAGTTGTACGTTTGTTTAGAAAAACATTGACTTACAATATCTTCAATGATCTCCTTGATAGCTGCTACTGCTAAGATAAATAAGAGAGGAACCAGCGTTGTATAGCGACCTGTTGGTGACACATCAGGTATTTGCTATTTAAAAAGAAGAGAAAAAAAAGTAATGAGAACCAGTCTTAGCTTTGTAATATTTTCCTAACAGAACTTCATAGTATGTCTTATGTTAGGGAATATCAATGTGCCCCATTTTCAAATACTTGGACCAGTTGTCTCAATTTGTTCAAAGTAACAAATAGATGAAGGAGCTTATTAACAGGCTTTGTGGAGAAGCACAGTGCCTGGCACTTGAAGGGCACTTAATAAATGCTTGTTTATGGAAGACCTAATTAGCTGTCTGTGTGCTAACATGCAGGACAATTACTACCCCAAAATACTACTGATTTCTTTTCTCAACATCTCACTAGCTCTTAGCAGGAATCAATCCAACTGGAGAATTGCTCACTAAAATTTCCTATGAAAATTAGTTGAAAGGGTATCTATTCACACAACACCAACAGGATAAATTACTAAGCAAGGCTATAAATGAAATGGAATCACATATGGCAGAACTCTGAAACAAAAATTTTGAAAATTTACCTCTCTAATTCCAAGCCTGAGAGTGAAATATAATCCTACTCTTTACTAACACTTTGATTTCTTTGGTGGAAAAGATGGGCTAAAAAGGCTAAAGCAGTTTTTTTTCAAAACAAAGAGAAATCAACTGGTATCAGAGATCATAAAAGTCACTTTTAAATGAAAAGAACCAGCATATCAAAAATATATAACCTCTATCTCTTGGGTCCTATTGCACTTGAAACAATTTAATGAGAATGACCTAAATTATTCTGTGAATATCACTGCCATGAAAACATTCTTGCATCTTTTTCTATCCTTGATCATCTATCATCAATTTAACAAATAACTTCGTGCATGATTCAAGTTTTAACCTTTAGTAATTTCAGTTGTCAAGCTCTCTAAAAGTCCAATTTTATGTTTAAAATATTTGGCACCTGGGGGCAGCTATGTGGCACAGTGGATACAGCACCGGCCCTGAAGTCAGGAGGACCTGAGTTCAAATTTGGCCTCAGACCAAACACTTGACACTTACTAGCTGTGTGACCCTGGGCAAGTCACTCAACTACCTAATATATATATATATATATATGTATATGGCACCTGTCCCATACACTTTAACATTTAATATTCTCAGATTTCAACCCAAGTGGATAGCACATTTCAGACTCATTACAACATGTACCGTTTTCAGAAAAGAATAGAATTTAACATATCCTAGAATTCAGGGGTGGGGAACCTGTGACTTCGAGGCCACATGTGGCCTTCTAGGTCCTTGCATGTGGCCTTTTGACTGAGTCCAAGTTTTACAGAACAAATCTTTTTATTAAGGTGATTTGTTTTGTGAAGTTTGCATTGTCAAAGGACCATACTTGAGGACCTAGAAGGCCACATGTGGCCTTGAGGCCAAAGGTTCTCCACCCTGTAGACCAATGCCTTAAGCATTAATGTTGAAAGTAAAAGAAGCAACCTGGCATAGTGAATAGAGAACCAGTCAACTTGGGGAGTCAGGAACTTCTGCCTCTGACACATAACTATTTATCCCAAGGCAAATCCCTTAACTTCTCTGTATTCAGGAAATTCTTTACCACTAGAAATTGCAGAAGAATCACAGATCTGCATTAGTAAACAAATTTTTTCAACAAGAGAACCTTTATACTATTGAAACCACTAGTTCAGTTAAAATATGCTTACACATACATACACACACACACAAACACACAATCAGTAATGCTCCCTAATAAATGCTATTATATTATTCAATCAAAAAACCAATATTTTAACAGTGCTCACTATATATATGTATATATAAAATCACAGAATGGTCTAAAAAAAAACCTAAACACCAATCATACTCATAATATCCTAAAGACATTTAAATCTATGAGCACAAGCCCTGAATAGTTAAGAAATGTATACATTTCAGTTACTGTCATAAACTATTAACACAAAACTGTAGTCCAGAGAGAACGAACATGTGAGAAGAAAACACCTCATCAGGAGCTATAAAAACCCTCGGGCTTAGGGAGCTGATAATTACACCAGTGAAAATCAAGCATTAACCAAGGCTCTCTAAGGAGTATTTCAGAAAAGTACATCATCTCACAATCCTCCATAAACAAAACCTAAGGGAGCAGAAGAGGAAGGTTTGGGCTTGCTGTTTCCATCTGGTAACACGACGCGAACACCTGGGTTCAAACTGTGAGACATTCTTCTAGGCAGGGACTTACCCAAGCTTGACAGCCAATGGTGGTTAAGAGCTAATACCTATAGCAAGATAGCAGGAGAGCAAGATATCTTGAAATAACACTTTAAGAATCTGTTCCCACAATGTTCTCATAAAGATAACAGTTGGAGACTGCAATCACATTTTAAATGGGTGCAGAAAACCAAATTAGTTGCCTTATGTGAATCCCCTTCAGAGATTCTCATCTGTAGCTAATTAGTCAGCACAGGAATGTCCTTGGCTAAGAGTACCTAAAAATGAAAGTACCTAAAACCTTGAAGTTGCATATAAGTTTTAAAAAACAAAACAAAACACCCCTAATAGCTATAATGTAGTGGCAAAAACACTGAATTTGGAATTTGAGGAACTGAGTCAAAATCTTGGCTTTGCTATCTGTGGGACTCTCGATAAGTTACACCTACTTTCTGGGTCTCAGTTTCCTTATCTTTAAAATGAAAAGGTCGGATTATGACAATCATCCCTTCCAACTCTAAATTCTGTGATCCTATAACCCTAACTCTATATTTTATCAAACGGACTCCTCCTGCTTGTCTAACAACTCTTTCTCACTCTTCTTTGATGGATCTTCATTCAGGACACTAAATCTGGGTATCCTTAAAGGCTCTGCCCTGACGCTTCTCCTCTCCTATCTTATCTCACTTGGTGATCTCAGCAGCTCACATGGATTTAATTACAGTCTCTATGTATATGATTCTAAGATCTACTTATCTAGCCACAACGTCTCTCCTGGCCTCTGGTCTTGCATCACCAGCTATCTGTCAGACAGCTTGAACTGGATGTCCTACAGACATCTTAAACTCAACATGTCCAAAATTGAAATCATCTTTCCTCGCAAAACTCTCTTCTCTTCCTAATTTGCCAATGCTGTTCAGGGTACCACCATCCTCCAAGTCACCCAGGCTGACAACCTAGGTGTCATCCTTGACTCTTTATTCTCTCCCATCCCCCTTTCATCCAATCTGTTGCCAAGTCCTATTTATTCTACTTTGGCCACATCTCTCATCTATGCTCCATCCTCTCCTCTGACAGTGCCATTATCCAGGTGTAGGTCTTCATCACCACATACCTGGACTATTGCAACAGCCTTTTGGTTGGACATCCTGTCATAAGTCTTTCCTCACTTCCTAAAGCACAGATCAAACTCAATAAACTGCAGTGGTTCCCTAAGACCTCCAGGATCAAGTATAAAATCTTCTGTTTTTTTTAAAATCCTTTATGACTCAGCCCCTTCTTCTTATACTTTGCTCCCAGCTATGTATTCTTTATCCAGGGACACTGGCCTCCTTGTCATTCCTCACATAGAACACTCTATCTCCCAACTTCAAGCATTTTCATGGGCTGTCCTCCATGCTTCAAATGCTTTCCCCTCCTCGTCTTCACCTCCTATCTTCCCTCAAGTTTCAGCTAATCTCACCTTCTGCAAGAAGACTTTCTTAGTTTTTAATTCTAGTACCTTCCTTCTGTGGTTAACTCCAATTTATCATGTATATATCTTATATGTACATAGTTCATTGTAGTTTTTCTCCCGTTATATTTTGAGCTCCTCTTGGGTGTGGGAGGGGGTAATTTTGTCTTTCTTTATATCCACGGTACTTAGCACAGTGCTATTAAAAGCTTAATAAATGCCAGCTCACAATATTTGACTATGAAAAAAAAAGACAATACAAACACACATATACACACTAAATAAACATTCCAGGTGGCAAGTCTAACTGGACCAAAGGTAGGGCCTACTGTTATATTAACTTTATAAGAGTTAAAATTTGAAGAAATATAAAATGACATGAAGAAACTCAATTATATAGCCTCAGGGAGGAGAGACCAGAGGAGGTAGGGAACCTGTGGTCTCGAGACCATATGTGGCCCTCTAAGTTCTTGGGTGCAGCCCTTTGAGTCCAAACTTCACAAAACAAATCCCCTTTATAATACGATTTGTTCTGTAAAACTTGAACTCAATCAAAAGGCCTCACCCAAGAACCTAGAAGGCCACATGTGCCCTTGAGGCCCCAGGTTCCCCGTTCCAGGACCAGGGAAAGAGGTAGGGAGGGTCTGATACAATCTTTGGCAGAAGCCTGATCTGCAAACTAGCTTATCTTCATCTTTGAGAATTTCCCAAGGGTTAGTCCATGGTTTATCAAAGAGATTTGGTAATACCTCAACATGTGACAAATACTAGGTTTTTTTTTTAACAGATGCACCTACCTGAAGCAATGCAATAAAGAGAAAAAATGAATTTGCAGCTCTTCTGAACTGAGAGTACAGAAATCTTGGCAGGAATGTGATGATGTTGTACTTGGCTGTGCTGTAAAACACAAACCAGGAGAAAGAAGCCTCATAAACACACATTAATTCATGACTTCCACATGACTTATAAAGTTCTCTTATCACTCTCCAAAAACCATGTCATCAAGAAAATTTACAAACCCCTTCAACAGGGGGAGAACATTCCAGAGAACCATAAACATAAATGAAGTGTAGAACAGTCTCATCTAGGAGGTAGGTCCACTTTTATGAGAAGTGAATAGCCTCAAGAGTCTCAGAGCCAAGGTGGATTTCGTTTTCTGGGCAAAACCTTTTTGCATGTGTCTTTGACCATTTTCTGCTTTATGTGACAGTTACTAACTTACAGTGGCCTCTGTTTTTAATCAATCACAAGGCATTTATTGATAGCTTACTATGTGTCAGAAGACAAAAGCTAATTAATTCAGTGGGGAAGGCACTAGTAGCTGTGAGGCTTCGGAAAGGCTTCATGGAGAAGGTGGTCCTTGGAGAAAACTTGGGATTCTAGGAGTTGAGATGGGAGTGCATTTCAGACATAAGGGATAGTCAGTGCAAAAATAGAGAGAAGGGAAATGGAGTTCTATATATGAGGAAAGGTAAGAAGGACAGAGGGACTGGACTATATCATGTATATATGGGAAACTATATAAATGATGGTAAAGGTAGATTGAAGCCCAATTATGCAGGGTTTGGGAAACTGCCTTATTATATTTTATTTTATTTTTTATTTTATTCTGAACTTAAGAAATAAAACAAGCATTTCCATAGCATAGTAGAACAGAAAAAAAAAGATGATTGTACATGAAACTGCAAATCTATTATGTACAACTTGCTATTCCTTTTAAATAGATAATTAAGTTATCATGTAACCTTTTTCCTTCGTTTCTCCCCCCCCCCCACTCCTAGAGAAGGCTACTATTAGACATAAATATGTATAAATATGTAAAAACATTGTATACATACTCCTATTTATCAGTTCTTTCTCTGGATGGAGATAGTGTTTTCCTTCGTATGTCCTTTGTAGTTAACTTGGGTATTTATAATAATCAAAATGACTTCTTCGCTCAAAGTTGTTTTTAAACAACTACTGTTACTGTATACAATGTTCTGTTGGTTCTGCTCATTTTGTTCTTCATTATTTTGTGCAAGTCTACCCATGTTTTTCTAAGATCATCGGGGTTATCATTTCTTACAGCATAATAGTATTCCATCACAATCATACATCAACTCATTTAGCCATTCCCCAATTAATGGGCATACCCACAATTTCCTTTTCTTTGCCACCACAAAGACAGTTGCTAACAATATTTTAGGAAATATAGGTTCTTTTCCTTTTTCCCTTATCATCTTGGGAAATGGACCTAGTAGTGGTATTGCTGGTTCAAAGAGCATAAGGAGATTAATAACTCTTTGGGCATAATTCCAGATTGCTCTCCAAAATGGTTGGATCAGTTCACAATTCCACTAACAGTGAATTATTGTCTTCCACAACCTCTCCAACATTTGTTGCTTTCCCCTTCAATCATTTTAGTCCATCTAAAGAGCATTGCAGGATCCATTGATGGGAAATAACATCTTTGCTAAGATAATTCAGCAATCTAAGTAGAGGATAAATGATTTTCAGCATTTCTAGAGTTGGAATGCATGCTCAGAAAATGAACCTATTTAAAAAAGATGACACTCATAAGATGGTGCCAAAAGGAGCAGCATCTGTACTTGGTCTCTGATGGACCTACTACAATTTCAGCCACAAGCCTAGCTCTCTAGTCTGGCTAGACACATCCATGTCTCTCTCGCTAAGCAGGTGAAGGAATGAATATTGTAGAGTTAGAGGGTGATACCTGGCAAACTCCCTAAGCCAAAACCATTGCTGCAGACAGTAAAACACAAACTTTTAATATCCCACATTTAAAGATTGTCTGTCATAATGAGAAGTTATGTAACTCATCATTTCGGAGTTCATTTATCTCTAATTTGTTAGATACTGAGCAGTGATGTTCAGTGGTTCCACTCTCAGACTTGTTTTCTTTTTTTATAACCAGCTTTCAATTATTGAGGGACCAAATATACAGTCGCTGGATTATTCATCCTCCTGGTTTCTATTACTTCCTATCTTGGGTATATCACTTTCTCTTGAACATCTTGGTCACTAGGGAAAGGAAAAGGAAATTAAAACTGAACCAGACTATTATTTCATTATTTGATGGCACTTGTAGTGGAAAAGTTTGGAAATGATACTTGCAGCTAAAATTAATCTTTTAGATCACCAGAAAATTTAATTTAATAATTCTGCCCTCTTTCTACTTCCTCCTTACCCCCCTGTCTCTCTTTCACACACACACACACACACACACACACACACATAAAGACAGAAAGAGAGAGAATCATAAGTTAGCCAAACATTTTCTAAGCAAATAATATTAAAGTAGCATTTCAGGGTGCATATGTGTATGTGTATGTGTATATGAAGGTATATATTGAGAAAGTTTGATATATCATCCAGCTTATCAATGTGGTAATCAGAGTCCCAGTAAGAAAAAAAGTCAATATTTTGTTAGAGACTTTCATGTCTTAGCTTCACTTGAATTATCTGGAATGGTTAAAGAATAGCTTTTGGTTACCAGGCAACAGATGGAAATAATCATCTCACAACTGTACACACTTTCACTTTTTAAAAAATATACCCTTCTTAGAAGAAAACTGCTATATAAATCCAAGGTAGAACAATAATTAAAATGAGAACTCAAGAAGTCCTATAGATTTTAGGTTCTAATTTACAAGGATCATTAAAATCTACAAAAAGTAACCCAAAAAAGTATTCAAAAAGCAGTTGACAAAGCCAATGTCACATTCGCCCAAAACCTCAACAGAAAGGATGTGAAGTGGGGAAGTGAAGAGAATAAGCATTTAGATAGCACCTAGAATGTGCAGGGAACAGTGCTAGGCATTTTAAAAACATTATCTTGTTTGCCATAGATCTCTGACATTTATCTTTCAGCATATAATCTTTCCAAAAGATCTTTTTCCCCCAGTGTATTTTCTTTCTATATACCATGAAAGAATCAGTAAGCTAAGCATGTCTCCATTCTTGCACACATTGGAAACTCAAATATTGATTTTCATAGCTAAAATCCTCTGAGTGGAGATTTTCTTTCTTTACACATTTGAGGGTACTGTTATTGTTGTTAGGATTAATAAAAAAAAGTATTGAATAAATGTCAGCTAAGTTTATGAAGTACTTTACTTATATTATTTCATTTGATCCTCTGAGGTACAAGGTAGAACTATTATTATCTCCATAGAGGCAAAGTGATTTGACAAGGGTCACCATGTCCAGTAAATACCAAAGTTGGATAACAAGCCTGTCTTCTGAATTCAAATCCTTCTTTCTGCTGTCAAACACACAGTCCATGGGGCTACATGAGGCCCACAACACTCCCAAGTGTGGCCTGAGTCAGATTAAAATGTAATTGGGAAATATTTAACAAAATAAATAAAAATACCACAAAACATAAATAATCTTAATATGTGGTTTTCTAAGTTGATATGTCACTCGCAGGAATCTTATGTATGATTTAGTGGCTTTTGTTTCTCTGAATCTGATACCACTGATCTAAACTTGCCTTTATTTCATGATACTGAAAGATCTGCAGTACAATAATTCTTAAAAAAGTTTATACCTCACGTGGTTATTGCAGAATTTTGTCAGTTGAGGTTGGTTGAGAAATATAGTCCTTATTTCTTCCTGATCAGCCAGTGAAGTTTTCTCTGAAACATCATCTGTCTTCTCATAGCCTTCAAAAAGACAAGAAATTTTTTAATAACTAAGAAATATTTCATCATGCATTATGTATCCAAAAATGTCATGCCTTTTAGAGTATTCAAAAATGATCAAAGATTTGTTTCAGTTTTCTTTAAAATTCAAGTTACTAATGTGACTTTTCTTTCTATATAGTTCTAATAGTAGACACATTGAACATATGTTTAATTGACTTAATTGAATATTCCCTTGCTTCCCTCTTCTCACAGGCCAGTGATCTAGTTTTAGATAAAAAAAAAATGAAGGGAATGAACAAATGAATGAATAAAAAAACATTTATTAAGTATGATATCCCAAGCACTATACTAAGCACTGGTGACAGTTCCTTCCTGCAGGTAACTTAAAATCTAATGAGAGAAACACTATACAAAGGAGAATAATGGCCAGGGAGGGGCACTCTAATCCACAAAGCTACAGGGATGGAGGATTATGGGGCAAAAGGAGCAAGGTTGAAACACTGCATTCAGGTACTCCAGGACCAAAGGTGATTGGTGAGGCAAGGAAGGTGGTAGTCAGAGAGGACGGAGTGAAGTATGAGTTTGTAGCTAGGGTTTTCCAGAAATTGGTCTGACAGAAATTGGTCTTTGGGAGAGAACCAATCAGGACAATGGGACTGTTTTGCCAAGACAGCAAGCTGAGGTAGGGGAAGAGGTGACAGAAGAGGAAACAATCAGCTTTGAACAAACTTTTTTTGGATGAAGGTATTTTCAAGATTGAGGAGGGGGAAAGGAAGTAGTTTTTGCTTATTTAGAGCAGGAAAAGAATTCCACATTTATTTAAGTCATCATCATCATCATCCTGCTCCCCATTGCCATCTCTTTTCTACTTAAAATCCCAAAGAATTAAGAGTTTAGTTTCATGGGATAATTTTAGTACTTCTTAAGATACCTGACCATAGTTTACTTAAACAAAATAAACAGATTCAAAAGATTCCACTCAGGCAATACCTTACTGCATTGCTAAAGATAGATTTTAAATACAGATATGCTCTCAAGCATATCTATAGCAGAAATGAGGTCCAGGAGTCCCTAAAATAACCAGAAATTAAAAACAACAGCAGCTTCCCCCACCTCACTTTCTCATAAGAATATGAAATTCAAAAGATTAGAATTCCTCCACTCTAGAAGTAGTAGTGATGACACTCATTTTAGTCACAAATGGGTAGCATGTGAGTGATTAAATGGCCATTTTGGAAAGCAAATTACACAATTTCTACCCACTAATAAAAATTTGGGCTAAAAATGACTGAAAAGAAAGTCCATAATCAATATGTCCATGGAATCATTTAGCTATATGCCAAAAAGGCAAATGTATGTATATGTATGACATGCTACAAATCTAATAATGCATACACAACCCAGGAATTGTTCAATCCCAAAAATGTGTTTATAAAGTAAAACTTCTATCCTATTCCCCTACCAACTTACTTTTAAAATGATTGATTTCCTTGGACACATTCCCTTGAAAAACTATCCTTAAGTACCAAAAAGAGGAGGAAAATAGTAATTCAAGCAACAGGTTGGCAACACTGAGAATACTGTGTGATGGTCATTATACCAAGAGAGAAGCTAAATCTTCAAAGACTAGTTCCACTCCAGGAGGTTCTGGGCTCACTCAGTTTGGACCATGCCTACCATGTTAATTAAAGAGGTAAGAGTACAGTGGAAAAGTTATTGAACTTGGGGATGCTAAACTTGGACTCACAGCTAATAATTATTTATGAAGCAACTATAATGTGCCAGGTACTACTCTAAGCTCTGAGCATACAAAGAAAAGTAATGAACAAGTCAAGGAGCTCACAACTGAATTGTGAAACAACATATAAACAGCAAGGTACAAACAAGATAGAGATAAACTAAATCAGAAAGATCTCAGAAGGAAGCCACTAGGATTGAGTTGGAGGGCTGGAGAAGATCTGTTAAAGCTTTTGTTTTGTTTTCAGAAAGTCAGATCTGAGTTGAGTCTTTAAGGTAGCCAGGGAAAATAGCAGGTAGAGATGAGGAGGGAGAATATTCCGGACATGGGAGAAAGAAAGTAAAAAGGCACAGACCAAGAGAACAAATGCTGTATTGGAGGAATAAGAAGGCCAGTGGTAGAGTACCATGGGGGTATGAAGAGATTGTAAGGGTACAAAGGGTCGATTTTCAAAGTCAGAGGATTTTATATTTGATCCTGGAGGTAATAGGGAGCTACTACAGTTTAATGAACAGGGGAATAACATGGTTGGACTGCCCTTTAGGGAGATCAATTTGACTGTTGAGTAAAGGATAGACCAGAGTGAGAAGTATCTTGAGGCAAGAAGACCAACCAGATGATAGGAGTGGTCAAGAAAACAGCCTGAAAAGGAAGGATATTTCAAATAGTGCAAATGCATATTTTGCTTTGTTTCCTCTGTAGCTTCTGGGGCTTTGACCTCGTGGGCTTTCATTTGTTACTCATGAAAATACTTTGTATAACATCACTGATTTTTCTGAACTAACTCCTAAAGTTGAGGAACTGCATCTGGTCACTTTGTAAGTAAGAATTCAGAAGGGCCAGAATATTATTTCTTATGAAAGGGAGCAGCATTGATTATACCATAAGACAGAGAGGTTCTTAGTTCTTTTTTGTGTCACTGGATCCCTTTAACCACACAGCCTTGTTTCACTCCATTGGTAACTAGGAAAGCATGAGAGCACTGTCCACATCCAGAACCTGGAGAGATCTCTTTAAGCATATGGAAAAGCCTATGGATCCCTTTTCCAATAAAATAAATAGACCCACAAAGGAAATCAATTCTATTTAAATAAAGCCTATGGATCCCTTTTCAGAATGTTTTTAAATGTGTAAGAAAAAATAAATAGAACCACAAAGGAAACCAATTCTATTTAAATAAAGATGTATTTTTCTCCATCCAAATTCATAATCCCACATCCCTTAAATTTGTGTACCTCAGGTCAAAAACTCCTGCCACAAAATGTCATCTCAGATTTGCATCACTAACCACAAATGTATGATCCCCATCTTCTCATTGGCAATTCTGATGATTTATTATAATCTGATCTGCTTTTCAGGAATGGAAAAAGACATGAAATGATACAGAATGAAAAAGAGGACCAAGAGAACAATTTATTCTATGATAACAAAGCATAAGATGAAGGAAAATAACTTTGAAAGACTTAGAACTCTGATCAAAGCAGCAAACAATGAGGACTTCAAAAGGAGTAGGGATAAAAGCAGTGGGCTAGAGATAAAGAATGAAATATGCATTTTCACTCACCACCAAAGTGTCCATTTGTTTTGTGGGATGTATTTGTTGTAGGAGAGAGTAAATTAGTGGGTTGTAACAGATAATGTCAAAATAAAAAGGGAAACAATAAAACATTTTTAAATGCACAGAAGAAAAAAAAATACAGAACAGACCAGTTTTGTTACTACCTTGTTAAATTTTGTATATCTATATATCGTTCTTTAAAAAAAAAATTCACAGCCTTTAATTGGATATACAAATCTCTTATACTTCTCTATGCATTGAAAAGTAGTTGTTAAGTTTGGAATAAAGAATAATTAAATATATAAGGATGCTATTAACATGGATAATTCAATTCAATGATCACTCATGAATTGCTCACTATATACAAAGCACCAAGATTACAAAAATAAAACTAAATAAAATATATAGAATTAGTAACTTCCATTTTATTAAGTTCCAATTGCATGCTAGTAACTGATAGAGATGTAAAACTAAAATAAGACACAATCATTGTCTTCTTGAAATTTAGAGTCCAGAAGGGGAATAAGACATCAATATAAATAGTTTTACCTAATGTACCTACCTAAAATACATACATTAGAGGGTTAAGAAACAAAACCCATGCCCTGAGGTTAAACCAATTATATTTTAAAGTTTATTTTATTTTCAAATTCTGAACCTACAAAATACCAAATAAAACAGCCATTTCCACATACAAAGTAGAACAGAAGTATGAAAATCTCTATTATGTACCACTTAATTTTCCTTCTAAGTATATAAAAAATTTAACAGGTAAATTTCAAAGCTGGCTACTTGTCTGTGTTACCTTCTAATCCTGTTTATGTTCTCTTCTGTGCATTTAAAAATATTGCTTCAATTATGTCTTTTTTCTTTCTTTCTTTTGCAGGGGGCAACCCTACTTCTATTCCCAGTCTCCCTTCCATCCCCAATCCCTCACTCCCCATAAAAAAATCAGGAAACAAAAAAAAAGACCCTTGTCATAGGGGACATATACATTGTCAAACAAAAATTCTCATATTGACCACATCCAGAAATGCATTTCTCATTCTGCATTTTGAGTCCATTTCCTCTTTGTAATGAAGTGGGTATCATACTTCAAAATCTGTCCTCTGGAATACTAGTCATTACTAATCATAACCTTTTAAAGCTGTTTTTCTTGCCAATGGTTGTATTCTAAAAGGACTTAGTCATTTTCCTGACTCCTGACAGGCATGGGTAGAACATGGGGCATCAGCTACTGCAAGTCAGGAGAACTGGGTTTTTGTTCCTACTCTACCACTAACAAGCTACAATCACGTAACTTTCTGGGCTTTAGTTTTCACATGTATGAAAAAAATAATCAGCTAACCTAGATCATTCGTAGGTCTTTTACAGCACTATGATCCTATGAAATTTTGAAGGAGTATTTATTAAGCCCTTATTATGTGCTGGGCATTGTGACAATAATAGCAAAATTAGCTCTTTGTGGCAAAAAAAAAATAGCTCTTTGTAAGACTTAGGGATTAAAAAAAAGGGCAAAAACAGTCCTTTCAAAGACGTCACAGTCTAATGAGGCAGGCAACATGCAAAGAATTATGTACAAGAAGATGAGGACAGGAAAAAAGTGGAGATAATCAATAGAGGGAAGGCACTAGCATTACGGGGACTGGGAAAGACTTCTTGCAAAAGTTGGGATTTTAGCTGAGACCTAAGGGAAGCTAGGAGGTCCAGATAAAGAAGGAC